CTTCACTACCCAAAGGAGTCTCAGAGCGAACTCCTTTCCCTTCCCCTCCCCACAACAGACACCCTGTGAGGTAGGTGGGGCTGAGAGAGCTCTTGACAGAAACTGCTCTTTTTCAAGAACAGCTCTTATCAGAACTACGGCTTGCCCAAGGTCATCCAGCCAGGTGCAAGTGGAGGAGTGGGGAATCAAACCCGGTTCTCCCAGATTAGAGTCCGCGCACTTAACCACTACAGCAAACGAAGGCAAGACAAGCAAGTATGAAGATGGAACGTTATAGTTGGAACACTATGTCTGGGGCAGGGATGCTCTGTCTTCTTGGTGCTTTGGGGGTCCACAGTGGGAGGGCTTCTGAAGTTCTGGCTCTGCTAGTGGACCTCTTTATGGAACCTGGGTTTTGGCCACTGTGTGACACAGAGTGTTGGACTGGATAGGCCATTGGCCTGATCCAACATGGCTTCTCTCTTATGTTCTTATGTCTGGGGCAGTGATGCTCTGTCTTGGAGATGTCAGGGATTGAACCTGGGACCCTCTGCATGCCAAGCAGAGGCTCTTCCACTGAGCTATGGTCCCTCTCCATGGCTCTCCAGGGTCTCAGGCCGAGGTCTTCCACATCACCTTCTACCTGGTCCTCCTTCTACCTGGTACTTTCAAACTGGAGATGCCAGGGATCAAACCTGGGACCCTCTGCATGCCAAGCAGAGGCTCTACCTCTGAGCCACTGAGCTCTTTCCCATCACCTCCCGCCTGGTCTTTTTAAACTGGGGATGCCGGGAATTGAACCTGGGACCTTCGGCATGCCAAGCAGATGAACTATCTCTGAGCCACTGAGGTCTTTCACATCATCTACGGCCTGGTCCTTTCTAACTGGAGATGCCGGGGATTGAACCTGGGACCTTCTGCATGACAAGCAGATGCACTACCTCTGAGCCACTGAGGTCTTTCACATCACCTCCTGCCTGGTCCTTTCTAACTGGAGATGCCTGGGATTGAACCTGGTACTTTCTGCATGCTAAGCAGTGGCTCTACCACTGAGATATGTCTCCTCTTCATGGCTCTCCAAAGCTTCTCCAGGCAGAGGTTTTTCGCGTCACCTCCTGCCTGGTCCTTCCTAACTGGAGATGCCGGGGATTGAACCTGGGACCTTCTGCATGCCAAGCAGAGGCTCTACCACTGAGCCACAGCCTTTGCTACACACACTTTCTCAACCCCCCCACTTCTGCTCCTTCCCCCCCCCAGCCCTGCCTTTCCCCTCTGTGCTGGGGGGGGGTCGCTCACCTCTCATTCTTCTCATTCCGATGCTCGGCAGCCTCCACCTTCATCCGCATGATGCTTTTGAGAAGCTCCAGGCCCCTCTCTGCCGCCCAGCGGAACTCCAGGTCTTGGCGCCGGTAGCGCTCGCGCAAGGCATCGCACTCGGCCTTCACGGCGGCGTTCTTGCGGCTCAGCTCTTCCACCTGGTCCTTCAGCTGCCGACGCGTGGCCTCCATCTCGAAAAACTGTCCGCTCACGGAAGCCAACCTGAAGCGGGTCAACGAAGAATTTTACTCTCTCTGCCGCTCCATTTGTTATTTATTCATTTATTATTCATTCATTAAAATTTAAACTCTCAGAGCAACTGAAATAAGATCAGTAGAGCAAGTCCAAAAAATGATCCAAAAAAACCTGGAAACCTATGTGCGTACAGTGCTTACAAAAATAGTTTAATTTAAAGTGACAGTGTGAAAATCCAGAGTGCTAAATTAACATTTCATGAGGTAAGTACAAAAATAAATAAATTGATGAGATGTTAACGATGATCTCCAGGATGTTCAACCGTTTCGATAGTAATCTTCTTCCAAACAAAGATGAAGAGCAGAGGTCATTTCGGGGGGGAACGCGGGGGAACGCAGTTCCCCCGGGTGAGGTGCAGGGGGCGGGGCACATGACGAAGCCCCGCCCCCTGCTTCCGGCAGCCCCGCTTCCAGCCCTCATTCAACCAGGAGGAGGCAGGAGAAGAGGGAGGGTAAGTTGCTCCCTCCCCGCCTCTCCCCACCCCTGCCTGCCTGGGGCCAGGGAGGGCCTTCGTGGGGCTTCCTTGCACTCCCGCTGGCCTTGCAGGTCCACCGCCAGGCCCCTGATGTCAGGGGGTGTGGCATATGCTAATGAGTTATGCTAATAAGTTCCCCTAGCTCTTTTTCTACAAAATGACCCCTGATGAAGAGTATGCAACGTCTCTCGTCAATGCCTCAACTGGTACATATCAATTAAGTCTCACTGAAGTGTCATGACATCATTGTGTAAGGTTCCAAATGATTCTTAGAAGGGCAAAAATGCTGTAACTCGGTATGCTATCAGCAGCCAGTGCAATGCCTTCAGCACAGGCTGGATGTGCTCCCGGACTGGGAGTCCCATCAACAGCCTGGCCGCGGCTTTTTGCCCCAGCTGCAGCTTCCGGATTTGAGAGAAGGGCAGCCCCATGTAGAGAGCCCCATGCATTTATTTACCGGACACGTTTTATCGGCCGCTTCTCCGCTTTGCAAAACTCAAAGCTGGCTTAACAGTGAAATTGAAACAATTGTCAAAACGAAACCAAGCATAAAAGACCACAGTTCAAAATATCAGCTAGGGCTGCCAGCAGTCTTCCCTCTAAGCTGAGTTAGTGTGAGCTAGCTCGCAGTTTTTTAGCCTCCAGCTCATGCGTTTTTGTCTTCGCTCAGGAAGGATGGGGCTCCAGAGCAAACTAATGTATACAGTCGCCAAATCGCTCACTCACAACTTTAATGCCAATAGTTCACAAAGTAGAATTTTTGCTCACAAGATTCCACAGCTTAGAGGGAACACTGGCTGCCAGTAAATAAAAATTAAAATGAGTCATAGAATCACAGCGCTGGAAGGGACCTACGGGGTCATCTAGTCCAACCCCCTGCACAAGGCAGGAAATTCACCAATACCTCCCCCTCCACACACACACCCAGTGACCCCCTGCTCCATGCCCAGAAGTCGGATACAATCCTAAATAAGATCCTCTTCAACTGCCTCCAAAAATCAAAAAGTGAGGGGGGGAGGTTGTTTGCTAATCACAGGGCTGCTACCGAAAAGGCCCTCTCATGTAAGCTTCTTTAGTTGATGGCATGGTCGTCTCTTCCTGTGATCTTAATTCCTGAGCAGGAAAGTACAGGAGAAGATGGCCCTTCGGATACCTTGGTCCAAGGCTGTGTAGGGCTTTCAAGGTCAAAACCAAAACGTTGAATCCGGCCAGTTTGGGTGTGGTGGTTAGGAGTGTGGACTGTAAGCTGGGAGAACCAGGTTTGATTCCCCACTCCTCCACATGTAGCCAGCTGGGTGATCATGGGTCCGTCACAAGTTCTCTCAGGTCTGTCCTCTCAAGGGCAGTCCTCGAAAGAGCTCTCTCAGCCCCACCTACCTCACAGGGTGTCTGTTGTGGGGAGGGGACGGGAAAGGAGATTGTAAACCACGCTGAGACTCCTTTGGGTAGTGGAGGGCGGGGTATAATTCCAATCTCTTCTTTGGGTCCCTTCCTCGAACGCAATGACCTGGTGTCAGTGATCCATGCAATGGTCACCTCGAGACTGGATTACTGTAATGCTCTCTACATGGGGCTGCCCTTGTCCCAAATTCGGAACCTGCAGCTAGTGCAGAATGCGGCAGCCAGGCTGTTGTTGGGTCTCCCTATGAGGGAACACACCCAGCCCACGCTAAGAGCACTGCACTGGCTACCTATAGCGTACCAAATTCGGTTCAAGGTGCTGATACTTACCTTTAAAGCCCTTGATGGCCTATGTATCTAAAGGACCGCCTTTCCCCATACGTTCCCCAGTGAGCACTGCGATCGGGCACTCAAAATCTCCCGGTCCTCCCAGGCCCCAGAGAAGCCAGGCTTGCAGCTGCCAGGGCCTTTTCGGTGGCAGCTCCACACTGGTGGAATGAGCTCCCGGAAGACGTCAGGGCCCTGCGGGACCTTTTACAGTTCCGCAGGGCCTGTAAGACGGAGCTCTTCCACCAGGTGTTCAATTAAGGAGCCGCCTGTAACCATCTGAGGCCCTGGCCCCAATACCATCAATATTATTAATAACATAATAACACCAGTGAATAGCTTGTGTAACACAGACCACGCCTTAATGGGCTGACACGTTTAATATTACAAGGCACCTTTACACCCCCCTGGCTTAAGGCTGTAGAGGAGGAACTCCCTTATTTTGGCTTCACAAAACAATACCTGTGTTCCCTTGCCTATGACTAGGGGTCATTTGCTGCAGGAGCGCACAGGAGCGGAGGTCACCAGAAGTCACCATGGCTTTCAGGCATGCAAGCACACACACACACGCACACAAAATACTCCCCCCCCCCCCCAAAAAAAAGAATATGCCCAACACCCAAAGAAACGGTGTATGGAAGTCCCCCAATTTCCCCAAAGGTTTAGTCACATGGCTTCTATCTCTCTCCCTCTCTCACGCCCCTTGGCTTTTGCCCATAGTTATATTTCCAGTTTAAAACATTATGACGTCGCAGGGCTCTTTTTGTAGAAAAAACCCAGCAGGAACTCATTAGCATTATAGGCCATACCCAACAGCAGGGACTCATTAAGCATATTAGGCCACACCCATGACAGCACAGCTCATTAGCATATTAGGCCACACACCCCGTGTTGCCAGAAGTGTGGTCATCCAGCCACACCCACCTTTTGTTTTTTATTCTGTTTACCTTGTTTGTCATCAAAACCCAGGACTTTTTTGTAGCAGGAACTCCTTTGCATGTTAGGCCACACACCCCTAATGTAGCCAATCCTGATGAGTTCCTGCTGCTGGGTGTGGCCTATTATGCTAATGAGTTCCTGCTGGGCGTGGCCAACTTGGGAGCCAGCCGGAACTCCGTTCCTGTGCGTTCCTGCCCAAAAATAGCCCTGATTGATGTGTAATATTCCCCATTAGAAAACCTTTTCCAACATCATAGAAACATAGAGTTGGAAGGGGCCATACAGACCACCTAGTCCAACCCCCTGCCCAATGCAGGACCAGCCTAAAGCATCCCTGACAAATATCCATCCAGCCTCTTCTTGAAAGCTGCCAGTGAAGGGGAGCCAACCACCTCCCCAGGCGGCTGATTCCACCTTTGAACCACTCTGACCCTGAAAAAGTGGTTCCTAATGTCCAGCCGATACCTTCCTGCACATAATTTGAACCCGTTGCTTCGGGTCCTCTCCTCTGCCGCCAACTGGGACAGCTCCTTGCCCTCCTCCAAATGACAGCCTTTCAGATATTTAAAGAGAGCAATCATGTCCCCCCCTCAATCTCCTCTTCTCCAAACGAAACGTTCCCAGGGCCCTTAGCCTTTCCTCACAGGGCTCTTTGTAAGAACAATTCCAGCAAGTTAATAAACACAACCCGCTCTTTAGTTTTAAAACCAGCCCAAGTAATTCTTTTGCCATTTCAATGAAGCTCGGGTTTCTTCCTTAACCCTGCTGACGTAGACAGAACATCTCAAAATCGTGACAAGCCAACTTTAACGTCGACGAGATTTAAAAGAAGCCGTTTCCCCCCCCTAATCACAAAAGAACCGAAGACGACGTTCAACCAAACTGCCCAAGTCCTGACCTAACCCTGGAGAAAGGAGATCTTATAAATGTTTTAAGCAAAACAGAGGAGCCGGAATTATCCAGTGAGGAGTATGTTTCATATGCCCATGATGTATTTGCACTCTAAATACTGGCTGCAGCACGTGGACATTTTCTTTGTCAACAACATCCAAGGTGACCAATGGGTACTCCTTGTTATGTGGCGCTCCCATTTTGGCAGACAGAAGAGCCACATTCAAATCCAAGAGCACCTTAAAGACTAATACAGTTTTCAGGGTATAAGCTTTTAACAGTCAGAGCTCCCTTCATCAGATATTAGATGGATCCGATGGAGGGTACTTATACCTCCCAATAATCTTGTTGTTCTCTAGGGTACTACACAACTCGAATGTGGCTCTCCTACTGCAGACTGACAGAATCACAGAGTTGGAAGGGGCCCTACAGGCCATCTAGTCCAACCCCCTGCTCAATGCAGGCTCACCCTAGAGCAGAGGTGTCAAACATACGGGCTTGGGGGCCGGATCAGGCCCCCGGTGAGCTTCTATCAGGCCCGCAGTGGAACTGGCCATCTCCTGCTTCTTCTTCCAGTTCTGCTGCTGTTGCATCATCGTAGGTTTGCCGCTTACAGATACACACCTGAATGGCACACTGAAGATTGCAACAGCACAGACATTTGGATGCAGTAATTCAGAGCAAGAGGTGTCAGTTACCAGACACTGTTAAATAAACTTAGGCCCCGATCACACGGAGGATTTGCCGCGGGAGAGCGACGAGTGCATGGCGGATTATCCGGGCGCGATCACACCGCAACATCTGGGAAGTGGTGCGCACCCGTGGCAAACCTGTGGCATACCGCCGAAAATGTGGGATTAAAAACTACCTGCTCGGAGGTACTAGCAACCAGTTTGCCACGGGCTGCCTCCGGAGTCCCTCGGTGTGATCGCGCCGTCTGCGGCTTTTCCCTCCGGCCCCTCGTTGATGCGTAGGCGCGGAGGGAAGGAACCGTAGCATGCCACCGACGCGTGGGATCGCGTTATGGTGGCTGTAATTGCAGCGGTGCAAAAAGCCCCCCCCCCCACGTTATCCAGCTGGTGTAAGGTAAAGTTAAAGGTTCCCTTGCTTGAAAGCCAGTCGAATCCGACTCTAGGGTTGCGGTGCTCATCTCCGTTTCAAAGCCGAAGAGCCAGCGCTGTCCAAAGACATTTCCGTGGTCATGTGGCTGGCATGACTAAACACCAAGGCGCACAGAACGCTGTTACCTTCCCACCAAAGTGGTACCTATTTATCTACTTGCAATTTCTTGCTTTCGGACTGCTAGGATGGCAGGAGCTGGAACTAGAGACGGGAGCTCACTCTGTCATGCGGCGCACTCGGGTCTCGAACTGCTGAACTACCGACCTTCCACAGTCTGCAGTTCAGCGTCTTAACCACTTAACCGGGGCAAAAATATCGCAACAGTGCTAATGTGTTAAGCATGATTTTAAGTTTAAAAAAACCCCTTTGTGTTTGTGTCCTTTATAAAGTTTATATCTTCGCTACCTGGCATTACATTTTATGACACACACGGCCCGGCCCAACAAGGTCTCGTTTATTTCAGATCCAGCCCTCCGAAGAAATGAGTTCGACACCCCTGAACTAGGGCATCCCTGATAAATGTTCATCCAGATGCTACTGGAAGACTGCCCAGGAGGGGGAGCTCACCACCTCCCGAGTAGCCATTGGCCTGATCCAACACTGGCTTCTCTTATGTTCTTATGAGCAGGGAGGAAAGGGCAGGAATTTCCGATGCAAGCGTAGTCTCATTCAAGAGGGGAATGGCAGCTGTCCCTCCGCCTGACAATAAAAGACCATGGGGTTTTGTTAATTTGATCTCTTGCTGAAGGGGAATAAATCAACAGGGCAGAACTACTAGCAGCTGCAAGGGAATTTCTAGGTACCACGTCCCCCTGGCATCCAGGACGTGTCGAGCTCTGCTGAAGCGGATGGAGTGTTGAACCAAGATCCACAGGCCCAGCTTCCAATTCTCAGTCAGTCAAGAAGCTCAGTGGGTGATTGTGAACCAGTCATTCTCTCTTTCCACCTAACCTACCTCACAGGGCTGTTGTGAGAATATAATGAGGAAGAGAGAACCGTGTATCCTGCTCTAAGCTCCCTGGAGGAAGGGACGGACGGATAAAAATCTACCAGATAGATACCAAAGAGAAAGAGATTCCCCAGACCACAATTCTGCCCTGTCACCTTCTCCCCACCTCGTGGTGCAGAACGCTGAAAGAGCTAGAACTTCGAGCTGCCAGACAATCTTAGGATCTCCTGGCTATTCTACACACAATGCCATACGATAATTAATTAATTACCTTCTCCCCAATCCAAGACCCTGAGAAGAAGACTAAACCACTGACCAGTGTTCCCGCTAAGCTGAGTTAGTGTGAGCTAGCACACCGTTTTTTAGCCTCTGGCTCACACATTTTTGTCTTCGCTCAGGAAGGATGGCTCCAGAGCAAACTAATTTATGCAGCAGCCAAATTGCTCGCTCACAACTTTAATGCCAGTAGTTCACGAAGCAGAGTTTTTGCTCACAGACTCCACAGCTTAGAGGGAGCATTGCCACTGACCCTTCAGGAGGCCTTCAGGAGGCCTCTTAATCCTCCTAGAATCCAGCTGCTTTTCTTTTTTTCTCTTTTTTTTATCATAAGGTTTATCAGTTTTGCATAATGATATCACAACTTACACATACATCTCTTCTATACATTTGACTCTAGATGTCCCATACCTTATTGATCCAATTGTATAAACGAGCCCATCTGACATAAAAAATATTGTCATCCTTCCCTTGAAGTATTAAGCTTAATTTGTCCATTTCTGCTATTTCTAACACCTTGTAAACTACTTCTTCCCCGGTGGGATGGTCTTCTTGCTTCCAGTATTTAGCCAATAATATTCTAGCAGTTGTTAGAACATAAATTAACATATATTTATCATTCTTCTTATAGCAATCTGGGATTATATTCAATAAAGCTATTTCAGGAGATAAAACCAAATTTATATTCATAATTTCTAATATTAATTTCTGTATCATCTTCCAGTAGTTATATACTCTATCACATCGCCACCACATGTGGAAAAAAGTTCCCACATTTATTTTACATTTCCAACAATTTTTGGATATTGACTAGTTACATTTTACTAACCTATCCGGCGACCAATACCAATGAAGGAATACTTTATAGATGTTTTCTTTATAATTAATAGCACTCATATACTTTAAGGATTTCCAAGTCTCTGCCATTTATCTATATTCATACAATAGCCTATATCTTTCATCCAAGACACCATTATTGAGTTCACGGTTTCATCTTACATGCATTCTTCTAACAAAAAAGTTAAAGTTTCTGCACCAATTTATAATTTGTTGACAACCAAATCATCTAGTTGCGTCTTGGAGAATCCAGCTGCTTTTCAATCGCCACATGTGGGGATTGCTTTTCTGCTGTGCTGCACTACTGCTGTCAGCCAGCAGGTGGCACTGTAGCACTCAGCTCAGCAAGGATCAGGTGACTACATGGGGCCAATCCAGTTCCACCTGGTCTTATAAAACTGATCAAATCTACCATGGATCCTCAGTCTGGACAACTGGATCTTCCCCAGCTTGGACATTTGAGCACCTACAGGCCTCAGACCAGGCACAGCCCCCCGATGAGCACGTAGGCTTCGATCCAACGTGCAAGATTTGCGGTTGCAGATAACTGTGCATCTGAGGGACCCCCAGATGAACCCTGGAGGATCCGCCACCCATCGGCACGCGTGAGAAACAGTACCTGTTGCTCTGTTCCGCCAGGGCGGTTTTCTTTGCCTTGAGGATCGTGTTCCGTTCCATCATCTCGCAGGTCAGCTAAAGAGAAAGAGAGAGAAAGAGAGGTTCTTCACCCATTCTGCACCGCTGCTTACCCGGCAAAGAGGACTGAGGCACAATGACAAATGCGACAGTCTTGAAACAAAGCCGAAAATAACTCATTTTTCTTTTTACGTAAGAACATAAGAGAAGCCCATGTTGGGTCGGGCCCATGGCCCATCCAGTCCAACACTCTGTGTCACACAGTGGCCAAAAATACCAGGGGCCATCAGGAGGTCCAGCAGCGGGCCAGGACTCCAAAAGTCCTCCCACTGTTGCCTCCCCAAGCACTAAGAAGACGGAACATCCCTGCCCCCAGACATAAGAACATAAGAGAATCCATGTTGGATCAGGCCCATGGCCCATCCAGTCCAACACTCTGTGACACACAGTGGCCAAAACACAGGGGCCATCAGGAGGTCCACTAGTGGGGCCAGAACTCCAGAAGCCCTCCCACTGTGGCCCCCCCAAGCACCAAGAAGACAGATCATCCCTTGCCCCAGGCTTAAGAACATAAGAGAAGCCGTGTTGGGTCAGGCCAATGGCCCATCCAGTCCAACCCTCTGTGTCCCACAGTGGCCAAAACCCAGGGGCCACCAGGAGGTCCACCAGTGAAGCCAGAACTCCAGAAGCCCTCCCACTCTTGCCCCCCCCAAGCACCAAGAGTACAGAACATAACTGTCCCATGTTGGAATGAACATAAGAACATAAGAGAAGCCAGTGTTCGATCAGGCCAATGACCCCTCCACTCCAACACTCTGTGTCACACAGTGGCCAAAAATACCAGGTGCCATCAGGAGGTCCGGCAGTGGGGCCAGAACTCCAAAAGTCCTCCCACTGTTGCCTCCCCAAGCACTAAGAAGACGGAGCATCCCTGCCCCCAGACATAAGAATATAAGAGAATCCATGCTGGATCAGGCCAATGGCCCCTCCACTCCAACACTCTGTGTCACACAGTGGCCAAAAATACCAGGTGCCATCAGGAGGTCCGGCAGTGGGGCCAGAACTCCAGAAGCCCTCCCACTGTGGCCCCCCCAAGCACCAAGAAAACAGAGCATCACTGTCCCATGTTGGAATGAACATAAGAGAACATAAGAGAACATAAGAGAAGCTAGTGTTGGATCAGGCCAATGGCTCCTCCAGTCCAAGACTTTGCGTCACACAGTGGCCAAAAATACCAGGGGCCATCAGGAGGTCCAGCAGTGGGGCCAGGACACTAGAAGGCCTTCCACTGTTCATAAAACAAGACACCTGCAGAGGTGCTGAATCAGATGAAAAATCACCTTATGGATTCATTCACTGCAGAGAAAGAGTGGAGAAATGCACCTCTCCCAGGGTCTTTTGCCTGCTCTGCAGTTCCCAAAACGTCCCCGATGGATGTCCCCCTACTCCCACGGAGCCCAAAGAGCGATTCTCCTTACTTCCTCATTGATCCGTTGCAACTCCACAATGTGCTCCTCGTAGCTCCTTTTCAGGCACTCCAGCATTTGGGCTGAGTCCAGGACTTCACCCCCCACGGAGTCTGCGGGCTCCTCTGGGACTGACCTATGAGCAAATCGGGAAAAAACGGAGGTAGAGATCAGAAAGCTTCTGAGAGCTGGGAGAGTCACGCTGACTTCCAGTTTGGGGCTCACGTGGGACCGACCAGGGACTGGAGTTTCCTCCACGTTCCTGTATTGGTTCTGGATCACATCTGCATTTTGCATAATTGCCCCCTTAGAACATCAGAAGAGCCCTGCTGGGTCAGACCACTGAGGATCCACCTAGTCCAGCATCCTGTCTCACAGTGTGGCCAACCAGTTCCCCTGGAGGGCCAACAACAGGGCAGAGAGGCCGAGGCCTTCCCCTGATAAGATCATCAGAAGGAGGAGAAGAGGAAGAAGAGGAAGACGAGGAGGAAGAGGAAGAAGAGGAAGAGGAGGAGGAGGAAGAAGAGGAGGAGGAGAAGGAAGAAGAAGATGAGGAGGAAGAAGAAGAGGAGGAGGAAGAGGAGAAAGAAGAGGAAGATGAGGAAGAGGAGGAGGAGGTGGAGATTGGATTTATACCCTCCCTTCACTTGGAGTCTCAGAGCGGCTTACAAACTCCTTTCCCTTCCCCTCCCCACAACAGACACCCTGTGAGGTGGGGGGAGCCTGAGAGAAATCTGACACAAACTGCTCTTTTTCAAGGACAGCTGTGCCAGAGCTTGTGACTCACCCAAGGTCCATCTGCTGGATCAGACCAGTGAGGGTCCATCTAGCCCAGCCTCCCGTCTTACACAGTGGCCAGCCAGTTCCTCTGGAGGGCCAGCAACAGGGCAGAGAGGCCGAGGCCTTCCCCTGATAGGAACCTCTGAAGAGCCCTGCTGGGTCAGACCAGTGAGGGTCCCTCTAGTCCAGCCTCCTGCCTATCACACAGGGGCCAACCAGTTCCTCTGGAGGGCCAGCAACAGGGCAGAGAGGCCAAGGCCTTCCCCTGAGAAGAACCTCAGAAGAGCCCTGCTGGGTCAGACCAGTGAGGGTCCACCTAGTCCAGCCTCCTGTCTCACACAGGGGCCAACCAGTTCCTCTGGAGGGCCGGCAACAGGGCAGAGAGGCCAAGGCCTTCCCCTGATAAGAACCTCAGAAGAGCCCTGCTGGGTCAGACCAGTGAGGGTCCACCTAGTCCAGCCTCCTGTCTCACACAGGGGCCAACCAGTTCCTCTGGAGGGCCAACAACAGGGCAGAGAGGCCAAGGCTTTCCCCTGATAAGAACCCAAGAAGAGCCCTGCTGGATCAGACTACTGAGGGTCCATCCAGTCCAGCCTCCCGTCTCACACAGGGGCCAACCAGTTCCTCTAGAGGGCCAACAACAGGGCAGAGAGGATGTTGCCTCCTACCTCTGGGACCCCTTCCCTGATATTCCCCACATTCCATGGCCCCTTGTCCGTGCTGCTGTCCCACCCATAACATCATATAAGCCAAATGTGACCCAAGACACAGAAACATGGAGCTGGAAGGGACCCCAACCCCCTGCACGAGACAGGAAATTCACAGCTACCTCCCCTACAAACACACACACACACACACACACACACACACAGTGATGCCGGCTCTCTGCCCAGAGGAAGGCAAACCCCCTCCAATCTGGGTCAACGTGTACTTTCCAAAGCGGGCACTAGTCCATGAAAGGTTACGCTAGGATAAAAATTTGTTAGTCTTCACAGTGGCACAAGGCTGTTGATTTTTTTTGGTAAAAAAAAAGGAGAACTCATTCTGGGGGGAGGTAGAGAAAGGAGGGGGGAGAGTGAGAGAGAGAGAGAGAGGTTCAGACCCTTGGTCCATCAGGGTCAGTATTTTCTAATCACTCAGACTGGAAGAAGAAGAAGAGGAGGAAGAGGAAGAAGAGGAGGAGGAGGAAGAGGAGGAAGAAGAGGAAGAAGAGGAGGAGGAAGAGGAAGAAGAGAAAGAGGAGGAGGAGGAGATGATGATTGGATTAATACCCCGCCCTTCACTTGGGAGTCTCAGAGCGGCTTAGAAATTCCTTTCTATTCCCCTCCCCACAACAGACACCCTGTGAGGCGGGTGGGGCTGAAAGAGCTTTTTCCAGAGCTGTCCTTGAGGGAACAGCTCTGACCGCAACTATGGCTTGCCCAAGGTCATCCAGCAGCTGCAAGTGGAGGAGTGGGGAATCAAACCCGCTTCTCCCAGATTAGAGTCCGCGCACTTTACCACAACACCAAAGGCAGAGGTCTTTCACATCACCTACCACCTGGTCTTCTTAACGGGAGATGCTGGGGATTGAACCTGGGACCTTCTGCACACCAAGCAGATGCTCTAACATTGAGCTACAGCCCCTCCCCAACACATGAAATTGCCTTACACTGAATTAGATCATCAGTCCACCCAGGTCGGTATTGTCTGCTCAAACTGGCAGCAGCTCTCCAGGGTCTCGGGCGGAGGTCTTTCCCATCACCTCCTGCCTGGTCCTTTTTAACTGGAGATGCTGGGGATTGAACCTGGGACCTCCTGCATGCCAAGCAGAGGCTCTGCCACTGAGCCACGGACTCTCTCCATTGGTCTCCAGGGTCTCAGGCAGAGGTCTTTCGCATCACCTCCTGCCTGGTCCTTTTCACTGGAGAGGCCGGGGATTGAACCTGGGACCTTCTGCATGCCAAGCAGGCGCTCTGCCCCTGAGCCACGGCCCCTTCCATGGCCCGGCAGGCTACCAACAGGTCTCAGCAAGCCAGGGAGGGGCAGCAGAGGGAGACAGACGCGGAGCAAGAGAGGAAAGAGCTGCGCTTGCAGTTTGCAACCAAAAGAAGTTCAGGGATTGTGACACACACGGATGGTGTCAGGAAAGTCTGGGGACTCACACATGCCTTGTCGAATCTTTCCACACGTCTCCAGCGATCTCACCTTCTGGGTTTGTTTTGGAGGAAAGCAGGCCGGGCTCCAGGGTTGAGTGCACCATGCGAGACAGGCCAACTGCTCTGGGTGCCTGTACCTACGGAACGTGGTCCGGTCTACCCTTCAGGAGAGTTTGGAGGCTGCCGCTAGTGCAGGACGCTGTGGGTAGACTACTGGACGGGGCCAGCTTTTGGGAACATGGGACCCCGATTTTACAGCAATTACGCTGCTGGCTGCTGATCCACTCCCAAGCCCAAATCTGGTACTGGTTTTGACCTTGACAACCCTACATGGCTTGGGACAATAAGAAGAGAAGCCAATGTTGGATCAGGCCAATGGCCCATCCAGTCCAACACTCTGTCATACAGTGGCCAAAAATACCATCAGGTGGTCCAGCAGTGGGGCCAGTAGGACACTAGAAGCCCTCCCACTGTTGACCCCCCCCAAGCACCAAGAATACAGAGCCTCACTTGCCCCAGACTGAGAGTTCCTATCTATACCTTGTGGCTAATAGCCCCTGATGGACCTCTGCTCCATATTCTTATCCAATTCCCTCTTGAAGCCGCCCATGCTTGTAGCCGCCGCCACCTCCTGTGGCAGTGAATTCCATGCGTGAATCCCTCTTTGGGTGAAGAAGGACTTCCTTTTCTCCGTTCTAACCCGACCGCTCAGCAATTTCATGGAGTGCCCACGAGTTTTTGCATTGTGAGAAAGGGAAAAAAGTACCTCTTTCTCTACCTGCTCTTTCCCATGCATAATCTTATAAACCTTGATCATGTCACCCCTCAGTGGCCGTCGTTTCTACAACCTAAGAGCCCCAAGCGCTGTAACCAGGGGCAGATGAACCATGAAGCAGACTGAGCACAGGCTCAGGGCACCAGGGCCAAAGGGGGCACCACAAAGCTGGGGAAAGGGTGAAAAGCTTCATTTGTACAGTATATTGTGTTATATGAATAAATTTTTGTATCGCTGCCACTTGCATTGTATAGCTGGTCAGACAGGTCAACAACTAAAATGGACTGGGTCAGTGTGGAAAGGAGGGGGGCACCAAGATTGGTCAGTACTTAGGGAACCAGTGAGCCTTCATCCGCCCCTGGCTTTAACCTTTCTTCATAGGGAAGGTGTTCCAACCCAGTCTGCTGTAGTGGTTAAGTGCGCGGACTCTAATCTGGGAGAACCAGGTTTGATTCCCCACTACTCCACTTGCACCTGGCTGGATGGCCTTAGGCAAGCCATAGTTCTGATAAGAGCTGTTCTTGAGAAAAAGCAGTTTCTGACAAGAGCTCTCTCAGCCCCACCTGCCTCAGAGGGTGCCTGTTGTGGGGAGGGGAAGGGAAAGGAGTTTGTGAGCCGCTCTGAGATTCCTTCGGGTACTGAAAGGCAGGGTATAAATCCAATGTCTTCTCCTTCTTCTTCTACCTCACAGGGTGGCTGTTGTGGGGAGGGGAAGGGAAAGGAGTTTGTAAGCCGCTCTGAGACTCCTTCGGGTAGTGAAGGGCGGGGTATAAATCCAATCTCTTCTTCTTCTTCTTTTACCTCACAGGGTGTCTGTTGTGGGGAAGGGAAGAGAAAGGAGTTTGTGAGCCGCTCTGAGACCCCTTTGGGTAGTGAAGGGCGGGGTAGAAATCCAATCTCTTCTTCTTTTACCTCACAGGGTGTCTGTTGTGGGGAAGGGAAGAGAAAGGAGTTTGTGAGCCGCTCTGAGACCCCTTTGGGTAGTGAAGGGCGGGGTAGAAATCCAATCTCTTCTTCTTCTTTTACCTCACAGGGTGCCTGTTGTGGGGAGGGGAAGGGAAAGGAGTTTGTGAGCCGCTCTGAGATTCCTTTGGGGAGTGAAGGGCAGGGTATAAATCCAATCTCTTCTTCTTTTACCTCACAGGGTGCCTGTTGTGGGGAGGGGAAGGGAAAGGAGTTTGTAAGCCGCTCTGAGACACCTTCAGGTAGTGAAGGGCAGGGTATAAATCCAATCTCTTCTTCTTCTTCTTCTTCTTCTTCTTCTTTATCATTCCAGTTTCACATCCTTATGGAGGCATGAAACTCAGGGGCCACCCAAGGCCATGGGGAATCTAAAAGGGACCCTGGCATGCCTCAAACCATGAAGAAGGCTGTGAAATGCAAGAGCACAGGCTTCCAAGGGACACAGTGAAGTCCTTTGATAGTCAGGGGGAGACAAAACCC